TTATATTATTATTCTTTTTTGTTATTATTTTTTATTTAAATATTCCGATCATATCCTGTCTCAATAAAAAATTTAGATCAAGCGCGGCGCAAAACGTAAAAGCTACAATTTTTTAAATCCCTCGATACACACTTAATATTATCAGCAATACTTTTGCAATCATTTCTTATCTTTCGCCAGAATAATCGATCGATAAGGACCTGCTGTTTCAACTATGTTTCGAAAATTGACATACTGACCTACTAAAGGGGATATATGCTATGACGTCAGTCGGTTTTCCTACATAGGGGTAATTCCGAACGGTAGGGTACGCTCTGCGCGGGATCGATATTTTGGTCCATGGGGCTCGTCGGCATTAAAGAGGAGAAGACGCCTCCGTTGCGAGACTTATACATTGCAAGTACGTCGGCATCTCGCGATATCAGCGTACAACTGGACGCATTCGGAGAGCCCGCCGCGCGAAAAGCAATCCCCGCCTAATTCTATTACCAAGTAACGAATCTCTCTCTCTCTCCGACGCGGACCAAGATTGATCGTCGGGGAGAAAAAAGCGAGCAGCCGAGCGCGTGCTCGGCCATCCGGAATAAAGACCGGCGGTGAAGGGACGCGACGAACGTCGATTAAAACTTTTGTAAGCCGCCTTGGACGGATCATTGGCCGCCTCGGCAAACAAGAGTGACAGAGTTCCGCTGGCGGCTTTTTGCCCCGACTCGCTTTTTCTCGCGACTCGGTGCTAAGCTGTTAGTGGAATTGACCGCCAAAGCAGCTTACCCTTCTTCTCCCTCTCTTCCCGCCCTTCGATCACTCTTTCCTTCCGACGTGACTTTTGCGAGATCAATCGAGTTACATCGACCAAGCCGTTTATCAGACACGCAAAATTGACGCTGAGAAAATATGTTTCGATACTTGTCGACTTAATGATAATGATCGATGTTTGATATCTCTCCTTCTCTCTCAGGAGGTGGAAAAAGAGAGGATTGTCTTTTAAAATCTAAATTTATTACTCCTCGTTTTTTTCCACCTTTAAAGATCTTGACCAATGTAATATTAATACAATGCACGAAAAAGTATATCGTAAATTGAATTCTCGAGAAAAGGAAAAAGAGATGTCTGGACAGTGAAGCAGAGATCAGATGAAGCTTGTGCAGATAATAAAAACCTATTCATTATATAAAATTGTTTAAGGCTAATAAATATTAATTAGCCTTCCTGGCTCTCTTGATTTGGCAGAGGTAACAGCCGTATTGAGATGCACGGTCAAAGGGAGCAAAGTACAAATTACGCTTTCATGAAATTTCCGAAACGGCGGTTCGATCGGCTAATAAGATCGCGCCGTAACTGCCGAAAGTGGCCGTATCGATATTTGATCGGCCACGCAATATTACATAATTAGCGTTAATATTCCCGATTGGCGGATGCTACGAGCCACGGTGCGCGCGCGAGCGCACGTTTCCGTAGGATGCAATTATTCGACGCCTCTCTTAGTAGCGAGCGCATGAATTATTCGGCGTATAAGCTCGAGGCTCGTTAACTCGCGAAACGGAACGAAGACCATCGACAATCACGATGTCAAAGTCGAGGCAGGTGCCGACGCGCACGACTTCCGGTGCGCGCTCGCACCGCGCGGCACTGCGCTCTTTATGCACTTGTTGCACAATCTACCTAACGATCTCTCTTCCCCGCGAGCTCGGATTAATAATCATGGCTCCGTCGTAGTCCTACGAGAGACGCGCGGTCCGGCGCGGAATCCTATTTAAAAATAATTGCGTACCCGCTCGCGCGCTCACCTGGTGGTTTCCTGTACTTGATTACGGCTAATTGTTCGAGATTTACAAGTATAATGGCACGTTTAATGCGGCGACTTACGTGACGGCCCTGAGACCGACTGTGTCGTCCTGCAGACACAACTTGTGCACGACTTGTGTGTGCGAGCGAAAAAAATAATCCCCCTCTCCTCGTCGCATGCGAGGCGACGCCGCGTCTTTGAGTTTCCTCCACGGAACTGTGACGAAACGATTGTCGGATGAGCGCAACTGACCTTAGAATTGCAAAGCAGTATAATTATGCGAGAATGAATTGTCTCGACCGCAGTGGTGTGTCAGAAGCGCATCGGAAATAAAATTATGCACGAGTGTTATATCGAGGAAAAAAAACCATTTATTATCTCCTTTGAAGTAATTCAGAATTATTGCAACAGTTTCCACAACGATAAAAGTAATTATACTTTCGAATCGGCCGGTTCTTCCACGAATAATATTTATTCGAGCCATTGTATTTTTTTCTTCAGATTTCTTCTCATCACTCTTGTAAAGCTTCCTCTCTGTGACTAGTGGCTCACATTCGTTCTCAGGGTTTTATATAATAACGATAATGCGCGTAAACGATGCTTTGAATTCTGCCTGGCGCGGACTCTACAGATCCAAATTACCAAAGTGCACTGATCCTTCGACCGGGACTTTAATTTAAAATCTGAAATTAGTCGGGAGTAATCTCCCATTCCCAAAGCTTTCTCTTCTCTTTCTCTCTCCTGAATCGTCACAGCGCGTCTTTATGAGGGCACATTTGGACATTTTCGCAATCCGTTTGAGCTATCAACGAAATGGCCATTCGCCACGATATCGTCGAAGCGAATAAACAAACGCATTCGCTATATACGCGAAAAGAGAAAGAGAGAGAAGGAGAGATGAAGAGAGAAGAAAGAAAGATGAAGAGAGAAAGAGCGAAAAGAACACAGAGAATTGGCCACCGCCAATCTGTCGCTGGTTGCATTAGCCCGGGGGATTGGCTTTTCAAAAGTCCACGTTTGATGGACCATCCTCCTTCTCTGTCTCTCTCGCTCGGATACTTTTAAAGTAAATTAGCTTTTTAGTTTTCTGTGACTAAAACCCCGGGAGTATAGCATGTATATAAAAGGAAGGAAGGGCTTGCTCGAACACGCCGTGTCTGCCGGAGGGTTCAACTGCCTCAATGTCTGAATGGACCTTTCCTCTCTCTCTCTCTCTCTCTCTTTTTCTCTCTGCTCTTATCCTACGTTCAGCCTTGTATTCGCGAACGCAACTCGACCTATTCGTATGTGTGTTGGGTGTCTAAGTCACAAACGTGTTAAACTACTCTTACACCGTGTGTACGTCTGAATGCCCAAAAACACAAAATGCGCCACTGCATCGGCAAAGAGCAGAGAGTGGCTTCCGCCCGCGCGTTAATTCACGTGAAAGATCAGCCGAGCGACCGCGCCCCGAAGCGACGATCGCTTTTGCCAACTGCCGTTGACTCTTTGCCGTTGGAAAAAAAAAGAACAAAGTCTCGTTCTCCCAGCATCAAAATAACCACTGGGAGGAATCTCGCTTTTTGCACAAAACATGTGTACAAGTCTCTTTGGAAAGGCAAAACAAGCGTTTTCGCGAAAGAGCGAAATGTGGATGATGGTGGAGATTGGAATAAACTTTTACAAAAAATAAACAAAAAATCGATCACGGTAAATGAAGCAACATTATGGTTGAAAGTATACGATACGATATATCTGGTGTGAAAGGTGTGATTTCTAAAAAAAATTAATAATAAAAAAAGGGATATAGATATACATATATATGCACGTATATACGTTTATGATAGCGATTTTACCAAGAATAATTACATGTTATAATCTCCCATATGATACTGTCGTAGTTTCGTAATTAAAAAATTATAAAGTACAGATTGAGATAAAAAAGTGACTGCACCCGCACAATCGTTAAATGAAGGAAAATCGATAATTCCATGTTAGGCAATAAACCAAATTGTCGGTTAATACGCGGCGAGAGCTCATTGGTTACACGATTGAATTACCAAACAAAATTCTTTCGGAGCGTAGAAGCGTAGGCAAAGTTGCCGCAGCTATCGAATTTACCTCTCAAACTGATTTCATTGTATTACAGCGGGGAGGGTTATGTAAATTGATGAAATGGAGATCAAGCTGAATGAAATTGAGATACACCCGGCCGGGGAATGCGCAATTTATTACAAAAATATTCGTTTTTAATATGGCGCAGCGAAAACTGTAGCGCGAGAAATGTACACGCCGCGATATTTATATATCAAATATGTGTTTTGCATTTAATTGCCTGGCGCGAATTGATCGCGGAGTCGAAAGAACAATTCGTTTACGAAAAATGCCAAGCGTGGTTGGTATTTGTTTTTTTTTAATTTTTTTATTACTACACAACCAACGGCAAATATGATAGTTTTATGCTTTAGAATAACAGGGACAAGGATCATTATATTTCTTTTGACTAATGTGTAATTAAATTTACTCGACTTTATACAGCAAATAATTTTAATTTAATTTTACTTGTGTAAATTATATAATTGTGCAGTCCGCAAAAAAATATATTGTTTTTTCTACAAAATATATAATTTGTTAAAAAATCATGCAATTTAGATTATAAAATATAGTCAAATTATTTTTGCAATAAAAAAATTTCCTATGTTCAAAGATGTAAAGATTCACTTCTCCCACCTTAAAAATAACAAGTTGAATAATCTCAGACAAATTGCCGATAATTTCTGATATTCGAATTAAATGTACGTGTTCTTTATAGGTGAACACTTAATAAGATTACCATGTGGTTATTTCGCAAACTTTCTCGCTAAAAATGCGATTCCTAGCGAAATCGTTCTATCGTGAATACATATCGTCACGAAGGCAGAAATATAAATTCCGGAGCAAGATCAATTTCGCCTCGAGATTCGTTCTCTCTCGGCTTGGCCTTTTATAGATTTGCCGATCTAAGATCGAAGGAGATTTCGCGCGAGAGTATAACTAGATTACGCTATCAAACCGGTCTCATTACGACGTGGTTAGCTCTCTTCGATCTAGGAAGCGCGCGAGAGAGTATAATCCAGATTCCGTGCTGGCGCGTATACGAGCCATCGGGCGATAAATAATCGAACGAAATGGTGGAAAAAAAAGAGAGGCAGAGAAAAGCGAGAAAAAGAACGAAAGTTTAAAGGCAAATACTCACAGACTCCCCGCGAGGCGACCCCGAGCTGAACTTCTAGCAGACGTTGCGGGGGGTCTTCTAACGAGCCGTGCAATTAACATTTTTATTAGACGGTTCTTCAAGCCGATCCTCTGCTCTGCTCCACATGTGTACCTGCCAGAACCTCATCGATACCTCTCGGCAATGCGGAACAGCCTTCTGCCATCTGCAAAATGAATTTTGACTTTGCTATAACATCTGTATGAAAACAGAGGGAAAGAGAGAAAACCAGATGAGTCTCATTTGCATATTCCTAATCTTCCATTCGTCTACCGTTAACGCGGAATCGACCTCCTTTGTCCGGGAAAATTCATAAATACAAATAATTTCCTCCCTCGCCGGAACTCTAATGTATTACGTAGACACTTTTATTTCCTTTCAAGGATGGAAAAGGGGGTATTAATGGCGGAACATTGGTCGAATCGTGCGTTACTCGCGTTCGATCTTCTCGCAGGAAATTCCGTCGGGGAAATAATCGTTCTCGCGCTGCGCGATCTCGCCCCCACCGCGATATTACTCCTTAAACATCGTCTTCGCACCTAGAGCGAGAGCAACCGTGTTATTTTCCGACATGAGCGCGTCTCGCGCAACAAAACAAACAAGGGCTATCGTGCCGCACGTAGGGCGCATCATCCGGGCGAGCCGAGCCGGTAAGTATCGTTGCAATGCAACGCCGATATACGATGGTTGTTGCGCATTTCAGGGCCGCGCGCTCGACCGATGCGCGTTGCATTGTTCGGCATTTCTCTCCATGTGGCATCGCGTCGATGCGCGCTACGTGCCGTACGGTGATTTGGCTAACCACACGTTTGTTGAGCCATCGGCGGCATCCGGCATTGTTTGCTCGCTTTGATGAGGCCAATTCGCGTCTCGCTTTTGCGTTTCATGTGGGAGATGCGTGCGCGCGCGCGAGCGAATACACACGTACACGCGTGCAATTCGCGTAGCTCGTGCGTTGGATCGTCCGCCAGGATGGCGATCGCCGCTGCATCTGTGTGTGCGTACGCGCGCGCACGTACACGAGAGAGCCTGCGTATGTCATTAGTGACCCCGGGGGTGACCCCGGGATTCGCTCTCACCATACCGGGCTATCAACACCGACCACCGTGCACCACCGACAGAGAGGAGCTCCATTATGCGCTCCTAACGATACTCGCCCCGTGCGCGAAACATTGTCGCGAGCCGCCGCGTCGTTGCTCACTTTGCGAGGTATGTATCGCGTTGATTCGACGCGCTTCTGCCTCGTCGACGTGAATCGCATTCCGTGAAATTGAGCCTTTCTTCAAATCAACGAATCATTTGGATTATTCGTTTTCGATCATTTTTTTATTCGTGCAAATTGACGAGAGTATTCTTCGTCTAATTACAATCGATGATTTTCTGAATAATTTAAAAGTGAGTACGCAATTTTTTTACGTTATGCATAATTCAACACATAATTATAGTTGTTTACATATTTTTAATTAATTATTTAAAAATAAATAAACTTTGATGTCATTTAAAAATGATTCAATTTCTTGTATTACATAAGACAAATTTATTTATTTTTACCTAAAAATAGATAAAAAATCAAAGTCATTGCGTGTGTAACAACTAATTGTATAATATATATATTATTATTAATAATAAAAAAAACAATAAATTGGAGATAAAGATAATGCAAAATGACAATAAGAATTCTCAATAAGATCAAAGCAACTCGCGCCTAAAATTGACAATATCAGTGAGCATGAGAGAGAATGAGTTAAGCCGATCGATGCTGCGAAAATGAAGACACCATCGTGTTGCGATCGATTTTTTTTGCGGGAACGAAAAAAAGTCGGTGCATATTTCTATCTGGTCGTCGGTGACTCGCAAAAAGCGCAGCTCGACACGCCGCGAATTGCGAAGAGCTCGCGCGGCGCGTCTCATAAACGAGCTCGTAGGAAGAGAGTCCGCGATCGATCCGACATGGGGACGTCCGTCTGGCGCGGAAGAAGAGTAAGTACGTTATACACGAGGGCCCCCGCTCGTATAACGATACCGCTCGTCGTGTCCCGTCTCCGCCGAACTGGTAAATAACTGGTAGTGCTATTAAATGCAGACACGAGCGCGCGAGCGCGGCCCGGAAATTGCCTAATTTCCTGAGTGCGCGCGCCGATCCGTCAACCTGACGTGACGGGGACGTGGCTGCACGGAATACCGTGACTTTTAATGTCAAGTGTGTCGAAAGAAAACGCCAGCTATATCGGCGTCTCTCGCGAGGCCTATATAAGGCTGGACCGCGAGACGGACGGATATATACGTCGCTCTTGTTCGCTCAAGTGGATTTCCGTTCAAGTCGAGCACCGTCGACGCCGCGACACGAGAGACTCGCGGGCTCGATCCAATTGCCCTCGCCTCTATTCGCGTCTACATCGGAAGCGGATATGCGCTTCTCGTTAGATTAATCGCAATCTCGTGAATGTTCTTGACAGTGGCAGCACGCACGGACGTCGCGTCCGTGAGTGCGCGGCTCTTTAGCATGATGAATCGAATGAGTAGTTGATTAGCCGGTAACGATTATTAACGCATGTTCATTCCGCCTGTGTTTATTATTTAGATTATCTTCATTAAAATTAAAATTAATGTTTGCAATATAAGGCTACTTTAAATTTTACAGGACTAATAGTTATTATGGTACATACATTCAGCATACAATGTGTGTATGTATTTCGAAAATATAAAAAGATTAATAATAATATTCCTTTTTTTGTTTAACAATAAATTTGTTTTATATGTCAGTACTTTTCCACGATGAACATTCTAATATACGTTATATCGGATCAGTGTATATCGATTCACATAAGTTCTTTTATTACATTGTTACCGCTTTATGACCCGTTAAAATCAAACTTTCGAATATTTCGCAATAACATATTATCGATATATGCAAGTAGAGATAAGAAACATTGTAAAATGAAACATTGAATTATCGCATAATCAACAAAATATTTTAGGGAAAGGAATTATACCTGCAGAATGACAGATATTTCGACTATTGGATTGCGCAGTTATCGATAGCGATATTTGTCGATCACGTCGAGAATTCCTCTGCTGGAATGTACCAAGCTACCGACAGAAGCAATAAGCTCTCAGAATGAGTGGTTATCGAAGAGGGAAAGATAGCCGCTCGACGTGGATCCTTGGTGATAGAGTGACTAATCCGTTGGCTTAGTGTTTCCCAGGAGAAAAGAAGGGTGACAGTAGATAAGAGAAAATACACAATTAAGAGGCGTCAATCGCTCGTGACACATGCTCCGCCGCTTTTCTATCTTCGTTACACATGACATCTCAAACTGGTCCGGAATTTCTTTAGATACTAGTATCTCATACTAGTATCTACACTAGTATCTATTCTAGTATCTAAAGTATATTAGATTAGTATAGTACTTCTAGTATTAGATACTGATAAATATTAGAGATTAGATTAAAACTTACTGGTAATTATTTCAAAATTCGAGTGCATTTAAATTCTTCTCTATCGAGTGTAATCAATCATTGATAATAAATATATATATATAAAATATATTCTATTTCAACTGTCAATTGTCAGTAAACTGACAAATTCCATTCTAATTTTATCATAATTTAAAGAACTATTTATCCGGTAAAAACTGGCATATTTAAACTGATAAATTTAATGATGTATCTATTGAAAAAAATTTTCCTTGTATACACATATGCATACGAACCAAATATGCCCAAGCCTTTATCAGGAAAATGTTCAATTCTGAAATAATAATTCGAAAAGATATACAACAGAATACACTTTTCCTTTGTCTCTTACTTTAAATTTCACGAGTATACAACACGCGCTCGTCGAAATCGGTGAGAGCAGTTTCCCCGTGAGTCGTTCGCGCTCTAGTGTGCACACACGTGTGTGCGTGTGCGCGCGCGCGCGCGCGAGCGCGGCGTTTGTATGTGTGTGGCGGCAATCTCCGCGTCAGCCGTGCGATGTCGTATCTGTTTCACCAGATGCCACATGCGCCGCCGGCAGGGTCGTGAAGCAGGACGAGGGGGGTTGCGATACCGTCTCTCTCTCTTTCTCACCCCTCCACGACAGAATGGGCGTGTATTGGCGTCCCCACCAGCCGAGTCTCTTCTCCTACGACCCCTCCGTCGCTTTTCCCACCAGGTGGACCAGGGGCGACTCCGCGACCGTGAGATCCCACACGAACGGATGCGGCGACGGTGGGACAAGAGAAGGGAAAACGGACGGTGGAACCGTTCTCGTGTCGCTTCGAGAGTCCCCTACTTTGCCGTGTCGTCCGCGCACGCTGTCCTCTGGGTTGCCGTGATCCACGCCTTCCATTTCCTCCCATTGGCTCGATCTGTCCCCAGAGTTCTGGTGACACACGCCTCTCCCCGTCGTTCTCCAGGAATCAGCTGCGGTGCAGGAGATCGCCGCTGGTTCTCCTGCTACGAGGAACAGCAGAGAGCGGTCGCGCGAGGATGTCCTTAGGTGCGTCCGTTCGAGGATTGATCAGCTGCCACGGGACTGGGCGTGTACGCGTTCTATCGCCGATGCGACGGAAATATAGATCCGTGCCCTGGTGAGAATACATCTCGATTCTACACATCCGCGCAATTTTGTTCAGCGCACACCGGAATGTTACATCTTTGAACCTGGAAAAAATCAATGACCAGCATCCCTCGTACGAGATTTGTAGTCATCGTTCGCACTGCTATCGATATAAATCGAATTATTTTTATATCCAGAGTACTTGGATACCAATCCACCCAAACCCGCGAGTATTATTCAAATACCCAGACTCTTCTCTAACAGCACACATGTCCAAAGGTTATCTAGAGGACATAAAATATCCTCTGGATAACTTGTAGACACTTGTCTCTTTTGGACATGTGTGTTGTTAGAGTTGGATATTTTACCCAAGATCCGGATATTAAAGATGAAAATCGAAAAATATCCGAATATTCTGATATTCGAATTGCAAATAATACATGTACGTACAATATATTATTATATACTTTTGATTCAGGAATAGCGTTTTGCAGTTACGGGACGCAAATTATGAAACATATTGTCTAGATGTTCAGGTATTTGTTCGTCTTAATATAATTAATCGAGCATTAAGAATGCAAGATTTTCTAATTAAATGAGAGCTTTTCGATTAATTAATTCTGCTTGTCATAAAAATATTGGATGAGAAAATCCAATATTTTTCAACTAATTCAGAATATAATTACCATCAAAATGATGAAAATAAGAACATGAGAAAAATAACGATTATTAGGATCGATATAAATACGCAATCCACCTATGCGCTTGTTTTTCTTTGTACTGTCCAGAACAGGCTGCCTCTGCCTAAACTGCTGATCAGACAGCTGGGAAGCGGCCCGATTACGTAACCGGGGACTATATTCGCTTGGTCGTAAAACGTAATCGCTATGCTCCGAACTGTACAGAGAAGGCGCGCATTATCTTAGAAATTGATAACTCACAAGTCGCGAATGTCGTGAGTGATTTTTAGATCCCGATATGTCCATTGAGATCGCTAAACCGTGAACTCTGTGAACGATGATACAGCATGGCGTGTCTAGCATCCGAGCATAACAGCCATTTCTTGCGTTAGAAACGTCAAAACAAGTCCCCGTCTCTACATTCTTGTATATAGAATCGGTTTATCGAATTTATCAATTTGATCTATCGCACATATGTATCATTATTGTTTGCTCCTGGAATATCAACTGTTGGTTTTCTCAATTTAAAAAAAAAATTATTTAGATAGATATTTTGCTTTTCTATCGGCACTATTTTACTTTACTGTTAATTTATTTACTTTTAATAACTTTTACGAAACATATTTTGAAATCTACAAGTACTGTTATTTAACTGTCATGTTTCGATAAAAGAATCGAGGAACTTTCATGATCATTTTTTCATATTATAAATTCAGAATCGATCCTTGATATGATAGCGAGCGCCAGGACGCGAAATCTAGTCCGATTCACTTGGTATAATTAAACACGCGCTCTCGGAGTAGTCGTTGAAGCCGATTCTTATCGAGCGTTGCCTCGATAACACGCGCGCTCTTGACAGTTCATCCGGCAGAAAGGTCGCGAGACGAGCGCGCAGGCGAAGCGAAGGCAACGACGGCTTTGTCTCGTTACGTCGGCAGCGAGAGAGGAGAACGAGGAGTCAGCGAGGATGATCTGAACGCGGCCCGAGCTGAAGATGGAGGCACGATAACGACGACGGAAATTGAATTCTCTCACCAGTCATCCCGCTGCGAAGAGAGTGCATGCACACACGCATCGATTCGCCCCGCGAGTCGTATAAGCCGAGTATCGACGGGCTGCTCATCGAGGGAAAGAGAGAGAAAGGGGGAGAGAGAGAGAGAGAGCTCACGGTTCCGTCCTTCCTGCTCCTTTTGTCTCGGCAACGCAATACGGTTGGGTGCACGTATAGGCTACTTCGAAAGGGCGAAGCTCTCGCAACGGCCGCTCTACGTACCTGCGGCACCGACGACGTCGTCGTTTTACCTGCCACGCGAAATAAAACAAGGAGAGAGCCTACAAAGCCTCCGTTCCGAAAAAATTCTATTCAGTTATGAGCCAAGAAATACATCGACGATAGGAAATACGCACATGTATATTGATAAAAACGGATTAAGATAATCTCGCGGAATATTTTGCGATAGTTAATATCTTAATATTCGATCTGTAATGTGTCCTATGATAGAGAATTTGCCTCGCGATCATTCGCGACGATTAATTTTTAATTCGCTTTTTATATGCGTTGCATGACAAATATATAAGGAGAGATGGATACTGAAAACTCTAATTAAAATTCTCGGATATATATGTATTAAATTTTAAATTTTAAATGATAATATTATTGAATAATATTAAACAATAAAGTGATTGCAAGCATAATGATTTTACTTTTAGCTGAGCATATTATACGTGTGACATTTTGTAGACACAATTTCAATATAAACTTGATAATATAAAATCATTCAAGTCGTAAACATAACAATAATGTGTATGATAATAATTAAGGATGTTAATGAATCGTAATTTTATATATAAGAAAATGCGTACTAATGCATGCATTTATTTTTACAATATATCACAAATTAATATCCTCATTATGATTTTAATATTAAGACGCGTTTATAAAAGCACATATTTAAAATTGTATCTCAAAAATGTTATTAAAATATGTTATTAATATAAAAACATTATTTGCGATTTATTTATACAGATATGAATATATCTTTAAAATCTTTAATATTTTTTTTTTTGGAAAGTGGTTAGAAGATGTTTTAAATATATTTTAAATGAATAGAAATCATATTTCAGTGGATTAATATTAATATATATTAATTATATTACTTTATAGAGAGCTAAGAATTAAAAGACTACCAATAATGTTCACAAATTTATTTTTTATGTAAATGTCATTGATTACTTTAATCGCATTATCAATAATATATTAAGCGTTCTTTCAATAAATTTATTTCCAAGAAAAATATTATACCGACATTATAATTACGTGTGTATGTGTAAAATATATGAAGTAAAATTTACGTAGGAAGTAAATTGAGACGAGATGAATCACACTTGTGCGCGATAAGAGAGTCAATGACAGGTGGATATGTAAATAAACATGTTATTTCACACTTTCGGCGTGACGAGCAACACCTAAACGGCTGAAAGTGTGAAAAAAGTATCGGTATATTTTGTTTTAGTTTTTTACGTGCGCACCGAGTTCGAGGAAGCCGAACGATGTTCGCTCGAATATACCTTTTTAAGGGACGGATTAAAAATAAGACATCGCGAGAAGGAGGGAATGCGATAAAAATAATGCATAAAAATGAAAACGCTAATAAGACACGATATATATCGAGGAAATTTGAATTTTTGACAAAAATATTACGATTATTTGCTATCGAATCCGCGTGGATTATCCGTTTAGCTTAGAAATCCGTGCGAATTATTTAGCGACGACAATCCTTGAGGCTGCGTCGACGTGTTTTATCGTCTCTCCGTGTATATTACGGTTTCGTGTGTGTACAACGTCGTCGGTCTGGTTAGTAAAATCGTACCTAGGTGCATGTCCAATCGACGTTACGATAATTTATGGCTTAAATAAATGCCCGATCGGTGTACGAGCGTGTACAGGTATCAATTTACATGACGCAACGGATATGTAACCTGATATATCGTGTGGCGGCGATACAGGCAGACCCGCGCCCGGCGGTTCTCATTGAAACTACCGGTGCAAGCGACGTAAAGTAGCGACGGGAAAAAAGGATTGACATGACATACGCATACACACGCGCGCGCAGAAAAAACGTGGAATTTAAATTCGACGACAGTAGAATTATCGATAAATTAGAACGTACGCATTAACGCGAATTATATCGCGAGCATCGCTTTTATCGTTATAATGAACGTACGCATCGAAACATGAGATTCATAGATTACCGAATTTGCAGTGCAATTTTGCATTGATTCGTTTCGAACTCGACGGTGAATCCTATACCCTAGCCTAACCTATTAATGCAATTTCGGGAGGTTTAGTCCTGTATTTAAAATTAAATAAAATATATTTCCAAGATCGATGACGCTGTCCAGGTTTTTAATCTATTTTCCATTCTTTATGAAATATTAATATTATATATCGTAACATAACGTCAAAATATTATATATTCAATTTTCATATTTCTATATAATAATGGCGATCGATTCGATACTAGAACGCACCCGTCAACAGTGACAAATACAAACATCGTGTACATTTATGTGTGTGTACATAAACAAAAAATGTTAACCCTAAATGATTCAAATAAATGTATTATTACGGGCGACCTTAAAAGCCACAGGCGAGATCTATTTTTATCCTTTCTAACAACCTTCCAAGATATCTCGATTGTCTTTTCGTCCTTCCGGAAAAGCTTATGTACGCACACACACACATACTCGACAAAGTACGAAAATATGATTCTTTACCATAACGAGACGACGTTCTCGGCATAGAGCCGACGATCTCACAAAAGATGAACTCTACTTCGTGGAGCTGTCGGTCGGCGGTGGCGGAGGCGGCATCGATGTAGTCGCTCGCGAAAGGCGGGAGGCGGCTGAAGTAGTCTGCGGATAGATAGGCAGAGAGAGAGCGCGCGGGAGTGGGAGGGAGAGAGAGAGACGCGTCGACGCTCGGCCGACCTCGGGCGACTTCGCGCGTTTCCGCCGACTGGTGGTGGCCGCCGCGCGCCGCGCGCCGCGCACCTCCGCCGAGAGTTCCACGCTGCGTGAAACGAAACTCGTACGTACGCGATCAGCTCGACCGAGGCCGCCGGCCTTCCTTTGCGTATCGGGCCCCGTTGCGTGTTTCGCGCCGCGGACGACGCTGTTGTTTCTCCTCGCCGGTTGTTCGCGGACGAAGACGACGGCCGAGACGAGTAGTGCCGCGTTTATCCACGGTGTCCTCGTGCGAGTCGGCGGACAGCGCGCACTGATACAGGCGCAAGGGCGCGAAACCGTCTCAGTCCGGTACTTAACGCGGTTCCGCGCGGGAGATTCGCGATGCGTTTCCGAGGCAGTGTACCGTAAAGAGTTCTCGCGCCGGCAAGAAAACGCGCCAATCGCGCGTCCGGTGTTCGCGTGGTGCTTCACGCTCGGCGGTTTGTCGCAGAAGAGGAGAGGGAGACGGAGAGGACGAGGGGGAAGCGGAACGGAGGAGGAGAAGGCGGCGGTGGACAAGCGAGGGGGAGAGGACTGTCGCGCGTCCTCTTTTTTCGCTCCTCTCGTCGAAAGGGGGATCGTAGACTCTCGTTTCTCGAAACAACAAGAAGGAAGATCGTCGCCAGCGGCGGTGACCAGGTAACGATCCGAGAGGAAATCGGAGTCGTAGGCGGGGCTTAAGGTCGCTGGACACGTGACACGGAAACTTGTCACGCCGCCCTTGCCCTCCCCTCCACGCGGCCGAAATCCACGCGTCCGCGGACGACGCCCCGTCCCGGGAGACGACTCGCACGCGTGTGCGTGCGCGTCGTGCGTGACGCTTCCACGCGGACATTTTTCCAGGAGGATCGTGCTCCCGCGGTATAAGGGAATAAGACGAATGCCTACGTTAGCTATGTTCTTACAGCGCGCTGCGGATGCACTCGACGTTGACAGAACCCTCGCGCCTACGCGAGGTTACGTCACGCGATTCTCGCAGCAGACTTCGAGTGCCTCGATTCTCCTCCGAGTCGCAAAAATTCAAGACTGGAGCCGGGCCTCCAGGATCCACGCGACTCTCGCGTCCAACTAATGCGCGCACGATAGTGTCCTTCTGTCGCAACTCCGTAATTAATCGACATCCGGCGACGATCGACGACAATTACCGACGACAATACCCGTAATCGACGATCGTCCCATCGACTCGCAAGGCGATGACGCCGTCGTGGCTGACCGAGGAACGTCACCGTGGCATCGACGCGTGAATCCCCCGAGGATGCAGCAAGCCAGCGTGGGTGGCTGCGACGAGGGCTCCGCCGCGACGAGTCCTCCGGCGAGATCGCCGGCCGGCTTCGCGATCAAGAGCGAGCCCGTCGCCGACAGGAACGACGTGAGGATCAAGATCGAGATGCCCGAGCCCACGGAGGCCGGCGTCGAGGTTAAAGGCGAGCCCCGAGAGGATTATCAGCGGCAGCCGAGCAACGATAATTATCGCTTCAACGACAAGAAGCCGGGATACGTCCCGGACATTCTCGGCCAGTGTCAACCGGGATACCGTCCCGTGGGATTGCCCAACTCTTTCGGCTTCCCTCCCTTCTACGGGCAACACCATCCGGCGCCCATGATGCCGGCGACGTCGTCGTCGTCCTTCTCGGCCGGACGTCCCTCCCCGGATGGGCCGATCGGTAAGATCGCCGACGGACACGAGCAGAGCGTGTCGCACGTCGATCGGCACGCCGCCTACGGCAGGATGCCGCCGATCCCCAACGACGGCTTCCTGCAGGAGCACCATCAGCGCTTCGACCCCGGCGACTTTCAACACGTCAACGCCGGAGTGCCGTACCCGGGCTTCCGGCCCACCCTGCGCACGTCGTACGGCAATCATCATCACCATCATCATCATCACCAGCATCCTCCGCATCAGAACAACAGCGCCTACAACAGAGGCCACTATCATCCGGCCAGGCAGCGCAAGTGGAGCAGCGCTGCGTTCCGCGGCCTACACCCGCCGATGCCCGTAAGTTTTTTCTCTCATTTAACGTGTCATTGTAAGTGTCATTCGCGATTTATCTCATTCTTAAATATTTGACAGAAAATTTGCTGCAATTTTTGCGAAGGCAAATCGAATACTTTTAATTATTATTTTTGCTGGACGTGTAAAATTGACGCTAGTTGTTAAGTTATAAATATTCGAAAATAGAAATCACATGGCGAGAGAGGGGAGGGGGAGAGATGTTTTGTAAATGTCATTCGCGATTTATCTCATTCTTAAATATTTGACAGAAAATTCGCTGTAATTTTTGCGAAGGCAAATCGAATACTTTTAATTATTATTTTTGCTGGACGTGTAAAATTGACGCTAGTTGTTAAATTACAAATATTCGAAAATAGAAATCACATGGCGAGAGAGGGGGAGGGGGAGAGATGTTTTGTAAATGTCATTCGCGATTTATCTCATTCTTAAATATTTGACAGAAAATTTGCTGCAATTTTTGCGAAGGCAAATCGAATACTTTTAATTATTATTTTTACTGGACGTGTAAAATTGACGCTAGTTGTTAAATTACAAATATTCGAAAATAGAAATCACATGGCGAGAGAGGGGGAGGGGGAGAGATGTTTTGTAAATGTCACTCGCGATTTATCTCATTCTTAAATATTTGACAGAAAATTCGCTGCAATTTTTGCGAAGGCAAATCAAATACTTTTAATTATTATTTTTGCTGGACGTGTAAAATTGACGCTAGTTGTCAAGTTACAAATATTCGAAAATAGAAATCACATGGCGAGAGAGAGAGGGGGAGGGGGAGAGATGTTATGTATTACCTAAATAATACAACTCGTGCGTGCATTCTCTCTTATTATCGTTTCCTATCATATAATGATAGTACTTTGGAATCCACAATTTAATCTCTATGGTAATCAACAGCAGTCGTAAAGGAGGTTGTCTATTCTTGTATCTTAAAGTCATGAATGTTAAAGAGATTGTTGGAGCGGTTCCCACATCTGATAATTCGCAGCCTTTCATCGTTCCAAGGCTTTTTCAGGTTTGGCAGAAACTGGATATAATGAATCATTGAAATTGCGTCGCGCATTTTTCTCGAGATTGCGAAAAGAGAGAAATTGCCTCGATCGCGCGATGCATTAGTTATGTTACCTCGTGTTGGATTATGCGGTTATTCGGAACGGTGTGGCACTTATTAAGGGAACAATAGCCCTGTGACGAAAGCGGGAATATCGGCGTTCGATCGCCGTGATCGCGCGATCTTATTCGATAAGATCGGTAATCGGAGAATGGAGATAGTATCGACGACGACGACGATGACGACGTAGGCGGCGGCAGAAATTTCATTTTTCGCCCTCCGGCGCGTACGAATCATCGCCGAGAGAGGAGGGTAAGATTTCCGAGCACGCAACCGGCACCTCCGTTGCATCCTCTGTTTCGTGCGAGCGACGCATTACTTGGATCCGCGCGATCGTAAATCGTCGAAATTTCTTAATCTTCCGTGCAACACGTCGAAGCGTGTGCAACGTTGCACAAATGCATCCCATATGGATGGAACAGATAAAAATTAATAATCCGGGTTTCCCGAAACGTTGCACGATTTTTCTTCGTTGATTTCGGCAGAATTTAAAATATACAAATGATGAAAAATGATTAGCATATCGCTAGAATCTGTATACATCTATATTAAAATCAACTATATATTATTGTATTTTACTTTCTCTTTTTTCGTGACTCAAGTAATCGTTTCATATAACTATTATAGCTTTTATACAGTTGAGAAAATAATTATATATGCTTCTCGTTTATTTTTTAAGTTTGAAAATCTAATTTTTCGAACAGCGATATTTTTCTCGATTAAAAATTGAGTTGCTAAAATAGATCATGACATATAATACATGAAAGAGGGCTATGAGCAAAAAAAGTACATGTGGAAGATAAAAAAATTCTATAAAATCTGCTACAATTAAATTGTTGCACAGTAAAAATTTATTTATCGTACTAATATTAATCTTCTCATTATTAATCATTATCATATATTTATATCGATACATTTTTTTATAAATACGAATCAAGTATAAATGAAAATAATTTTATTAGCATGTTAACAAAATCGCTGATTTCTTAACATTAAAAGAATAACATTAAAGTAGGCTTCCAAAGTATTTTCGTATTTTTAATATCAAATAAATAATTTTACTTTTATATTAGTCGTAAAATAACATATATGTGTATGTAAGAGTAATAACGGAACGTCAGTAAACTTATTTATCCTATGCTTCGACATAATTTTATTACCTCAATAAAACGAGAGACTTAAAGAAAAATTAAAGGTGATATCTTATATACCGCAGCTCTCTCTCTCTTTCTCTCCCCCCCCCTCTCTCGCTTCCCACGATTTTTTGCTTCCGTAAGACATTGTGTACGGGACTGCAATTGAAATTGCCGGGTCGGAATGAAGGTTTAATGAAATCGGACGAGACGTCGCGATCGCCGGCCAAAAATTGCGCTCTGGCCGAAATTACAGTGATTACACGCATCGCGGCTGTGGTTCTGCCCCTCGGGGAAGGACTCTGCGCGCACCCTTTCGCCGTCCCTCGAAATGAAACCCCTCTCTCCTTCTCCCCCTCCTGCCTTTCCACCTATCTTCTCTTTCTTTTTCCCGACTCGTGGAGTGATACAGGACTCATTGAGAGTTCGACCAATTTGTAAGCGGAAAACGCGGCCGGGGATAAGTCGGCTCGTCCGACGATTAGCGTAACATCGCGCTCGTAAAACAGACAGTGCGTGCTCGGCGTCCATTATGACGTAATCCGCCGTTTCTTATAATTTATCACCGACCGGGAGAGCGAGCGAGCGAGTGAGCAAAAGCGGTAGCGATAAATATCGTTCGAAATTTCAGTTAAGCGGCCGCATTAATTTACGAGGCGACGATTAGCTCGGCGAACTTGCCGATTTAGCCTCGCAGTTTTCGACGAGGGTCGGATTAGCGGGCGCGCGCCGTCCCGATCCGCTTCTTTCGCTTTATGGCACTTTCGTCGCGTTTCCAAATTTATGACGCGAGAACGGATTCAACTGGTGGCTTTTCGTGAAACGATAGATTTCGGGCCGGTAACAGCCGATTCGACGGCGGCTTTCGGTTGTGTTTGTTGCGCGAATCGATGTATTTGTAGAGGGATTTAACGCTTATAAAGAGTTTCGCACGAACGGCCTTATCAGCTGATCGTAAGGATCGGCGTCGATCGGCTAGGCGTGACTCACTCTTCACGGGAGATCTATCGCTTGCTCGCTCGCGGAAAGTATGAGAAATGCATTAGCTTTGGGTATCATGCGGTGAAACGTTCCGCGAGAAATACCTGTTTGACGATCTTAATTTGCGTCGATACCGCGATTGCGTTTATTTTCAAGTTTAGTACGCATTTATCGTCATCATTTACTTTTTTCATCGTAAGAGAGATTGCGATATATATTCATAAATTATATATAGATATATAATTTAGTCAATCTTATTTATATATATATATATATATATATATATATATATATAAGATTGACTAAATTATATATCTTTAATTATAATTGTGTTTAACGGAAATTTAAATAATTAGAAAGCAGTTTCTATATTTTATATATATTTAAATATATATTTAAATATATATGTTTGATTAATGTTATTAATTATATACGTTGGATTAATTAATAATATATCTTTAATATTTTTCTTCGCTGAAAAATAGATTGCTGATCGCCAGTAAAAATAATCTCGCGGACGGAGAGTTATTATTGTTATTATATTAATACCTATATAGAGCTCTTTAGTCAATTCTACTCGAATGTAAACGAGATTCGTAACAAGACGATTCTCCAGGAGCGGTGCTCCAGAAACGCGTGTTCAGACGCTTGCGATATCGCTCCAAAACGGGGCGACCGAACTAGGCACGAGAGCTATCGTCGCATTTAAAGCCGATTATCCGGGCCCAGGAAAGTGCTCCGCAATAAGTCCACCGCTGCAACTCGCTCCCTCATCAGCATACCGTTTCGTTCCGAGCTTAACGACCGCGTTCATCTTCCGCGGGTACGCACCTGTATCGAGATAACGCTCAGTAACGTACGATCGCAACGAATAAGGGCATTGAATCGACGCCGATCCCTTCGGCTCCGTTTCTCTCCCGATCTTACTTCTGGAGTCGCGTCGGCTCGCAAACCCGAAGGCGCGAATCAGTCTATAAATTTCGCGACCGGGAACTTGCTCGCGCACCTGCGCACTACGTAGCAACCAGGCGAAGTGATCGGTGTCGCGATAGCGTGGGACATTCCTTATTTTCCTTGCTGTTTGTCGCGGGTTGCGACGCCGATTCGTTTCTGAGAGTGGGATTTAGCTCCGCGATATTTCTTTTGAAATTTTTCGAAGAAAATTACCGCTCTCGAAACACGTGCGTATGCATATATAATATAAAAGAATTGCGGTATTAGTTTTTTCAATTTAACATTAAGTTATATTTTATTGCTTCTCTCTCTCTGTCTCTCTCGATATATTGGCCATATATCAGCAATATCGTACATAAAAATGGTCATCAATGCTAATCGCGACAATTATTTCTCGATCGTTTTAAAGATAAGTACTTCCTTGATTATATTGGAATATAATCGTAGATCATTTCGCATTCGTAGTCACACAAAGAAAAACTAGTTTGGAAAAAATAGTTTAATAACTGGTCTCGATAATGTATCATCGAGTAATTTTTATTCGAGTTATTTCCCATTATATTACCAATAAAAACCTGCACTTGTTCTATCTGCCACTACATATGATGACATTGTCAACGGCAAACATATGCGTAAGCGTGTAATCTACGATCACGTAATATGCACTATTTATTTATAGATAATATAAAAATATACAAAAAATACAGAGAGAAGATTAAATAATATTGTTCACAAATTTTAGATCACATATCTTTTATTAATAATATTATAATTTTTCTTGTTTATATTAAAATTATTGGAAAATA